TTTAAAGTTTAACTTTGGATTGCTTAAAGAAAAATGTGGATGCCCTCCCCGCCCCCAAACATTGTGCAGTATATTAGTCAGTATATTAGTCATGCGAAACTCTAATAGAAAAGGAGTACTTTTTCTTCTGTCTAGCGGAAGCCAATGCAGTCTTCTTCCCTCTTGTCCTGGAATATTGGCATAGCCTTGACGTCATCATGTACAATGCAGGGCCAGTGGCAGCTGCTTGTACTGCATTGTATGAGAGAATGTCAGCAAGAGGGGAGAAGATGTGACCAGAGAAGAGCAGCAGCTTTAGAGGACCTGTCATCACTTCCAGATTTAGAAAAATCCTGCAGGACCTTGTAGTAGGGTAAGTAATCCTGTTTATTATAGCTCCCATAGACTAAACAAGCATTATATCCTGAATATATGGGGGCACCCACATTTAGTTTTTTTTGGCCAGTCCAGAATTTGTTGACTAGCTCTTAATAATTAATAAGTTATGCTCTTATTTTCTGTGCATATATGTTTTTTAAACATATTTCTGTATACCTTTCCCATTTTTGGTGAGTAGATTTCACATGATATAATAACATCACTCAGACTTTTACTAAAGAGGTCATTTCAGGGCTTTTTTCTATTATGGATATTGTTACATGGAGTTGGCTGAATGCTCTTGCATCTCACAGTATTATTGACACAGATTGTGCATGATGTTATCATCTTTTCCCGTAGGACGTGACTATTGCAGCTGCTTGTGCTCCTCCAGGTGGAGGTCGCAATCCAGTAACTCCTCGCTTTATAAGACACTTCAGCATGTTATGCCTGCCAACACCCTCCGAGCACAGCCTTAAACAGATTTTTCAGGTCAGTGCTTTCTTCAGCAAACCCAAGAAAGTGAAATCAGCCTGTACTCCAGGATCCTTCAATAAGGTGTTATGTTCTTTCAGAACAAAGGATTAATCTGCATTTCAACAGTTTAGGTAGCATTTGTAAAATGATTAATGATAGATTTCCACTGAAAGGTACATTTTGGAGAAACTATAGTGCATTGTTCATCAGCAGATATTTAAAATTTTCATCTGCATAATTATTTCAACAGTTGTCTAATATAATTTTTCATGCGACTTCCAAGATTTTTTTCTAAGTTTATTTTATTGTACTAAATTAAGAGATTTGTAGATTAGCCACAGCTAAACTCTCAGCCGCTCAGAGGAATGTTCTAGGGTTAAAGAGACACTACATTTTGCACCTATTCTCTAAAAATCCATACACATCCACTACTTAATGGCCCTTCAATTATATATTTCATGAAATTGTTTCTTATGGTGTTTTTCTGCCTCCTTGCACCATACAAAAAAGCAGTCTCTAGAGGTAGACAGCTTTAGAATGAAATTTTGTACAGGTAAATGGCCACAACCAGCTTTATTTTAAGCATCATATAAACATAAACAGGATTTCCAGCATCAAATAACTTAATTGCCTTTCCAAAGGGAAAAAAAAAAAAAACTTAGAACAAAATAATCCTAGCCAGTCAACCAATTACCACACACAAAATAATAATATAATTAATCGAATAATATATAATAATGATATTAAAAAGGCCATTACACAGTCTCTCCCTGCAGACCAACGTAGTCTGGTTTCCCATAAGGTTTGGGGGTTAAGGGGTTAATTTACTAAAGGCAAATATACTGTTCATTTTGCAAAGGAAATTGCCCTTTGCAAGGAAATTTGCCCCAGAGCTTAGTGAATGAGGTGAAGCTCTGCCAACGTTCATCATCCAATCATGTGCAAACAAAATGCTTTTTTTTAATTTTCTTTGTACTAAGGTCTGGGGCAAATTCCATTGCAAAGTGTAAATTTCTTTGAAAAGTCAACAGCTATTTACCTCTTAGTAAATCAGCCAGACTCACACATAATAAAATATTATATCACCACGTTCATGTTCCCCATGTTGCCTTTTTACTATTCTAAACACTGCCTTCTAAAGGTCCATTTATATATATATATATATATATATATATATATATATAAATATATCATCACCAAGTTGTAAATCAATGAAACCCGTAGAGTCAGTTGTTCATCTTTCTCCAATAATGTTGTGATTATGCTATAAATGGACCTCTAGAAGACAGTGTTCTCATGATTTAGAATAAAAGAAAGGCAACATGGGGAACGTGATTACGGTGGTGTAGTATTTTACTATGTGTGAGTCTTGTTGAATTAGACTTGATTATGTACGATTTTTTGACTTTCTAAATAAAAGCTACCAATTTTTGTTATATTGTATGCACTTTATAAATGCGTGGTCATACACATATTTGTATGTATGCACTTTATGACTCTTTCTGGTACCTTAAATGTCCCTTACTAATGGTACCATTAGACATATTAAGCAATCTCACACCCATGTACACTCTTTTTGGTCTTAAGTAAACCAACCCCACTGTGTAAACAGCTAGCTTCCACTAAATTGGACAGCCACACCTTTAGCATAATTAATCCTAGCTATGCTAGTTTTCAAGAATCCAGGTAGTGCGAAGTTTCCCTTTCACCAGGGAACAATGGTTTTCTCATTGTCTCTTTTACACTTTTGAACATAGGTTAGCGCTCATTTGAAAATTCACATTGGAAAGTGAACATCTGTATTCCTTTAGTAAATCTGCCCCTAGGACTCAGTTGATGGATTCCCATGTGTTTTCCATGGGAAAAAACGAAGATTAATGACTTCTATTTTAGCCTACTGCTGACCACAAGACAGTGAATATAGGAGTGTCAATGTCATTTGATTATTCTCTTGCCTACAGATATAAAAATACAAGATAAAAATATATATCAAACCCAAGACTAACCATTTGGTTTCAGGTAGACACTGCATCTGTATTTTTTTTGCGCTTGTACATTACTGTTTTATTTTCACATTAATGAAGTATGTAATTTAACTATTAATGTTGTAGATGCAAGTTTACTAAACTAGTTTACTAAGCTAAGTAATCCATATTAAAGATCTTCTTTAATGAAACCAAGTACATTACATGTAAAAAATGTAACTGCAATCAACAATCAGCATTCTGGATTAAAACAACCCATTCTATCAAGATCCTAAATATATATATTGTATTTTTAATAATAACCCCTAAAATAAATTGTATTATCAAGATAGTATGACATGCGGTGGCATACATAGAAAATAGCTGGTGGAGACTGAGCGGTGGTCATTAGATGAAGCACCAAATGTACAGATTGACTGGCTTGTCTGTTTCACTCTTTACAGTTGATTGGGAAAAATACATGATTTCTCAACTGTCTCTTTCTATCCATGTCTACCTGGAACCAGATGGCCAGTCTTGAGTTGTGTATAGTTTATCCTTACACATTGTACTGTTAAAAGCCAGACAGATGGAGCAGCATGCATCCTGTTTCTGGATCTGCAATTGCAGATGTCATATCCATGTTATCATTTTTAAGGTTGGCAAGGGGGTAAAAAAGGAAGATAATAAATTATGTGGCCAAAGAATATAATTGTTGTAACCGCACAATTTAAATATACTATAATTCTAGAAGTAACTTTTTCATGCCCAAGGCCATTTTTGTGCATTGTGTAATATACGTTGGCACACCTAATGATGCTACTCACGGTGTTAGAAGTAAAGAGGATAAAATGCGTACTTAAAGTTGAACTTGGGTCAGTACTAGTTGTTTAATTACACATTATATCTAACATGCAAGTGCTATTCTTTAATATAGATTTATTTCAACATATATCCCAGGCCCTACTGTGCATGTCCATGAATTATTCCTTACAGGTCGAAAGTTTCCTGGAGGTTGCCATATTTTTCTGACATGAAAGCAGGCAGAGAGCATTAATTTTCTGATTTAATGTCCTTGCCCTCCTACACTGCCACCACTCTAGGTTTGTTGAACAGTGTCCCCCTTGTGGTGCAGCTCTGTGTCCCTCTAGTAGTACCCCCGCTACATGTCCCCTACCAGAGCCACTGCTCCTACTCCTTTAGCAGAGCTAACACTCTATGACTCTATAAAAGATGTAGACCATCTTTTTCTTTATTGCACTGCACAAGGACATATTTCAATGTTAGAAATGTTAAAGCATATTTTCATTTCTTTTACTAACGTTCCACTTTAAATTAAGCAGAATACTGCTGCATATCTTTTATCTATCCTGTTTTGCAATGTACTTAGTGTACATACTGTAAGGCAAGATAGCCTTTTTTATGTTGATGCCACAGGTACCACGTAACATACATTTTGGACTTATGTTATCTGTTTGCCATGCAATATAATTTGTTATAATGAGTATCATATCTTCTAATCCAGATTCCTCCAGTAAATTTCACTTTATGAAATTAGTCAACAAATACTATACTGGTAGCCTTTATGGTGTGCTTGAGTTTCAATGCCAGTCTGCATGTCATGACATTCGCAAAGCAATCCCACTCTCTTTATAGCAATTTTAATTTAGAGTGAGGGCAAGGCCAGAATTTATGTTGAGATAAACTTAACTCCACTTAATGTTGAGATAACCAGAAGCTCCAGGAGTCATAAAAAACTGCTGCATGACATAATTGTAGCATCTACTAAGGACACATTGTTTTGGATTATCTGATCCTTCCCTAACATTCTTATCTGAAATGTATATGGGAAGCATCTAGTAGTCATAAATATGTTCACAGCAAAGTTAGAGTAATTTTAAATGCTTGGTGATTTTGTTTTGTGATGTCAAAAGAACTTGCATACTTTGAATGTGTATTTGCGGAATCATGTTATAAATTCGTATGAATTGCTTTGTAACTTGCACCTCTATGTTTAGACTTTCATGTCCTGGTTATTTTCCTGGGATAAAAGAGTATGCTAAATGTTTTTTTTTAAATCAAAATAATAATTACATCTGTGTGTTCTTTATGTAGGCAATCCTTAATGGCTTTTTGACAGATTTTCCTGTGGCAGTAAAGCAGAGTGCAAGCAATATAGTGGATGCTGCAGTGGAAATCTACCACCGAATGAGCATTGATCTTCTTCCAACTCCTGCAAAATCCCATTATGTATTTAATTTACGTGATTTGTCGAAGTGTGTTCAAGGTACATTGTTTTCCCTGACCAAGTATACTTTTAAATGTATATTGTCAAGACATAAATGAAAATGAGCTACAGTTTCTGTGTTTAACCCAAAATTACTTTATACAACCTTTGGTTTTAAGTGTGGTTGATAACAGTCATTCAATTCTGATAAGCAGTAATTTCATTTTTGAATTAAGGTGAGCTTTAACACAATTTCAGCACCGTGGAAAGCTACTGTATAATGAACATTGGTTCTGGCAAGATTCAAATTAAAAGGATTCAACCTACAAATGTCATATAATACATAGGAAGAATCCTGCCAAGGAATTGCTGGGCAAATCTTCAAATCTTATTTGAGCGAATTTTACCATTGAATGCTTGAATAATGCACTCATGTATTTTATTATTTCATTCCATTTCTACATGAAAAAAAATGTTCTACTTTGCATAGAAAAGTCAAACAGGACCTACAAATTCTTTAAATTCTTAAACTGTTTTTTTTTTTTCGGTGTTCTGAACTTGTGTCTGTATGGATATAAATCATGTTGTTGCTATGAGCATCTCAAAGCACATACACCAACCAAGAAAAGCAAAAAACAAGCTAACAGCAACTATAAATGTATCAACTTACATTTCAGAAAACAGTATTTTGTTTATGTAGCTGGTAGTGTCATAGAAACATTGTACAGCTTAAATAACATATATTGAAATTACATTCTTCTGACAGTTCTTGTTCATCATAGGCTTTAAGAGGATATGCCATGTTTTTACCAAAGGGGCCCATGGTGACCTTAAAGGGCATTCACATGGTTACAGGGTCAAGCAGAGTAAAAACTTCAAAACAGCCTGTATAAACTCTGTTGTAATGGTTGTTTCATTATCATTGTGGCTATGAGATTATTGTCGCTGTCAAATATTTCTTTTGCCAAATGAGGTTGATTTGTAACCAGCCCTCTCATCTTAATGAATTGTAAAGGGATAAATAGAGATTCACATAGTAGGTTGTATTAAAAATACCAATTGGACACATGTTTTTACTAAAAAAGCATTATATTATGTTATACTCATTGCTCTTTAGAGTAGAATGTAAAATCTGGAGCCCATGTGAACTGAAACTAAAGACTAAAACACAATATTGTAAGACTTGTGCTTAGGTTTCTCCTTCACCACTGTTTACCTCTTTATTCTAATTAAAAACCCTGACACTCATTTTCTAGTTGAGCAACATTACCAATGAAAGTTTCCTGATATACAAACTTACTTGGAATGCTTTTAATCTTTCACATCACCTTTCTGCTGGCAATTCTCTTTCTCATTCAAACATACAGTCAGCCCCTTAAAATAAAAATTCTAAAGCGGGCCAAACGTGTAGATTTCTAAACAATGTAGATAGAGGAATCACCACTGATAGTTTTTGTATTCAGCAGCCACTGCTCCAGCAGTCTCAGAACACCCAGAGATTGCGTGCATCTGATTGGATGCAGGAACATTTTGTACTAAAATTTTATGTTTGGCATCTTTAAAGTGAGTCACTTTGAGTGGACGGTGTCGCAAACGCGCGCATCAGAGATGGACGCGGTTCAACCATTTTGGCTTCAACCTCCATCTTGGCGAAGAGATTAATTGTCCTGAAATATCTTTTTCCTTCATCCTCCCCCTTACTCTCTGTTCAACCACCGTGACACCTGGTTGTGGGTCACTGGCAGGCTAGAGCAGCAGGGAACCCAGAGCTACAAAGCCCCCCTCAGGAGAGCTGGAGTCCCACTTTCCTGAGAACCTGTGTAATTTCACACCTCGTAAAAAGATAACGGAGCCTTCCTTGCAGTTCAAGGCATTCCCAAGAAGCCCACACCAGATAACATTTTTAAAAGATCAATTTTTCCCCTATGTTTCATATCTTGGAATATGAGAGACTTACATAAAAACCAGACATCCCGTCAGATTGGCTAGGAGCAGGCGAACAGTTTGATGGGTCATTCGAATTATCTCAGACCATCAGGGGAGCTGAAACATAGAACTCGTGAACCGTGCAACATATAATTTCATAATTCATATCTAGATAATGCTCAGACTTGTCTGCATAATAATATACCCGCGGGTGGAATATCACTTGTGCAGCTGGAAAAGTTATGGACCAGAATATCAATTATGAAAGATGTTGGCTCCAGTTTAGGGTTCCGCCTGCCGATCCCTCCCTCAACAGGGGATTGGTCTTTTTACTTCAGAACCACCCCCCTGCTGGGAAACTTTAAAGCAGGCTGTCAAGCCTAAGGGAGTTGGTTGAAGAATTCTCCCATTTTTCCATCGTAACATAGGGAGATCAAAGCACCCTCCTGCTCTGACTTGGATCTGCTAAACCCAGGACTTTGGCAAGTACTTTAACCCTTTCACCTCTCTCTGATATCTCTTTACTGTGTTATGGTTCTCTGTATATTTATATATATATATATCTTAGTTACATCTTCTCTGTAAATATTGTATTGCACCTGTTTGACCCGTTCAGTAATAAATCTCTCTTTCTGAAAGTGTTGAACTGTTTCTAAAGCCCTTAATTGCAATTTAGGAATCCCTGCCTTTAAAGAGATGCTACTGTTTGTTTTAACTCTCTGTATAACCGTCCTGTGTCAATGGCCGGGTTATCCGGATGATTATTTCAATTATTATAGTGGTATAGCGATATTGCGAGTTTCCTCTTTCTCTGTACAAAAAGGAGGTGGTGGCAGTGTGAAGGGGTTAATTGCGTAATTAACCTGAACCAGTAACAATCGCTCAGGCTGATGGCACATCAATCTGTTGTCCATTAGCTGGAAAATCATTGTGCAGGGTGCAGCTGGGTGTGGCATTGTTATGCACGTCACATTGCGGTTTGGATTGGCCAGTCCTTCGGTCACGTGTTTGGTGAGAAGGTCTGGGGTCTGACACCGCCACCATGACATATTGTTGGCAGCGTACGTGGCATACTTGCATTAAGAGCTTCAGGCAGTGTTAAAAAATTGGCTCTGCACTGAAGGATTGTAACCTTTGTGGAAACAGTCCTTAGAAACGGCGGTGCATATTTTTTTTATATATATATATATATATATATATATATAGAGAGAGAGAGAGACATATGGCAACAGCTCCTTCCTTTTTTCTACTTTCTATTCTATCTTTGCTTGCAATCATGCCTGGTGCAGCAGAATACAAGAAAATGAGCAAAAGTAATTTGAGTGCGGAATGTACCTCACGAGGATTGGACGTCGGTCACAAAAATCGTGAAGATTTGATTAGTGATCTAGTGGAGTATGATAGCCGAGCAGATCAGAACTCGGGGGAACTTGAACATGAAAGGGTTCCCGATACTCACATTCCCAGTGGCGCAGAGACAGCCTCGCAGGATGGGCATACAGAGACTGACACTGGAAGATCACCGAGTGGTATTGTCACACCACCGCCTGAGAGGGCCAGCACCGGAAAGCCTGTAACCAGCAGAGACTCTCCTCAGATGCAGGAAGCCCTGAAACGCCTCATGGAGACAGATCTTGAGGCATACCTGCGGTTCCTTGAATGCCAGGCTGACAGAGAAACTGTGGAACGCCAGGCTGAGAGGGAAGCTGATCGTCGGCACGAGCTGGAGATGGTGAGGCTCCAGCCCCAGCAACAGGTGCAGAACCTCGGATTCCTAGAGCCACTCTGGCCGTGGGCGCCGCCAAGTTTCCAGTGATGGACAAGGATAGTGACATTGACACATACTGTCGGTTGAAAAAACGTGCCGTCAGTACCATGTGCCCCAAACACAATGGGCTCAGTACCTGACACCAGGGTTACGAGGCAAGGCCCTGGACGTGTTTGTTGAATTGCCAGAGGGGCAAGACGATGATTACGAAGTTTTGCCATCATCCGGAAGTACCAGATGACCCCGGAAGTGTACCACAAGCGGTTCAGGTCCATGCAGAAGGGACCTGGGGACACTTACACGGATGTGGTAAGTCGCTTATGCACCACATTCTGACAGTGGACTAAGGGACTGAAAGCTGACTCCTATGAGTCTTTGGAAGATCTCATGATACAAGATCAACTTTTGCACATTTGCTCGGCAGACGTCAAACAGTTTGTCTTGGAGAGGCAGCCAGCATCTACTAAAGCTGCAGCCGATCTGGCAGATACCTTCGTCCACATGCGGGTGTCTGACCCTCGCAAAGCTCCTCAAATGGCTGGAAAGGGGGGAAATCGCCCCTATCAACCTCTCCTACTTCGGTGAGTCAAGCTTCCCCTCACCCAACACCTGCAGCGTTTGGAGCCAAGCCATCCCTGCCTGACAACCGCAGATGTTTCACCTGTGGGAAAGACGGACATCTCAGAACGCAGTGTCCTGAGCAGAAGCAGGCGACATCATCTGGCCAGCCGGCCAGAAACTCTTCTTCTGTGCTGTTTGTTCGCAGGAAGATGCGGGTAACCCGCGCCAACTTGCAGCAAGTCACTGTGGGCAACCGGTCTGTAACTGGTTTCCGGGACACCGGGGCAGAAGTCACCTTGATTCGGCCAGAGCTGATTGAGCCAAAGAACCTCATCCCAGGGAAGTTCCTTACCCTCACAGGATTTGGGGGGACCCGTTCTCGCATACCCTGTGCAAAGGTATTCCTAGATTGGGGTGCAGGAAGGGGGATGCAGGAGGAGGGGGTCTCGGAGGAAATTCCCACACCTGTTTTGTTGGGTGCTGACCTACGCACTCTTGTTTTATGCCCCTGCCGAGAATACCCGGAAGGGCCCCCTGGAACTCTCTGGACATGCCAAGGTACTGTGGGCAGATATTGGGGTAATGTCTGGGCCACCTGTGGATGGACAGAGGGAGGGGGCTGGGAATGGAGTGTGGCTACAGGATTCTCCATTAGCTGGAGAACGAGAAGAAATCCCCTTGCCTGGGGAGGTATTGAACTCATGTGTCATTGATATTATAAACGTGACTGTTGATAATGGTGATGATGACAATGGGGATAATAATGTCAGCAACGTTGATGGTAATGTCCGTAATGTCATTGATAATGTCAGTAATGTTGATGGGAATGTTGGTAGTGCTAACGATGATTATGATATTCATAATGAAACAAATGATGCATTTTCAGTGTTGGGGGTCACCCACAGTGCTGTGAAGGGGGCAGAGGTACAATCTCTGGGGGCTGAGCAAAGAGAGGGTATGGATAGGCCTGTCCCTTGCCCAGGCTCAAAAGATTGTGCCTTGATAAGTGCCCAACCATTGGCCTTGCATAGGACTAGGTAGCCGGCTGGGACTTGTAGTTCCACGCATCAGGCAGCACTGAAAATCGATTCCCAAAGGAACTTCAGAGGTCAGCTAGCTGTGAGTTGCCCTGCTAAGAAGGTACACAACAGCCGGCTGGGACTTGTAGTTGCATGCATCAGGCAGCACTGAAAAGCTATTCCCAAAGGAACTTCAGAGGTCAGCTAGCTGTGAGTTGCCCTGCTAAGAAGGGTACACGACAGCCGACTGGGACTTGTAGTTACATGCATCAGGCAGCACTGAAAAGCGATTCCCAAAGGACCTTCAGAGGCCAGCTAGCTGGGACTTGTAGTTCCACGAGTAAGGCAGCCCTGGAAAGCCATTCATATGGGGATTTCAGTCTTGGGCTAGGTGTGAAACTCCACAACACAGGCCTGACAGGACTAATAGCCTATCCACAGGAGGCTGGAAACCTGAAAGCCTGTCATCTGAGCTGACCTGTCATGGTGTGTCAACAGGCAAACAAACATGAGTCCGAGACATTGACAGCACACCTGGATTGGAAATGCGAGGGGTCTCTGGAGCTCAGAGAGGGGGCTGTGGCTCTCAGCCTCAATCCCCTCCCCTTTCCACTCAGGTCCTGAAGCTGCTGGCAATGCCTCTGATAGATGGTGTCTGGATTCAGGAGAACCCGGGGGGAGCTTACCGTGCGGTTCAGGAGTTAGACGGCAAAATGTCCGCCTCCCTCCTGCCTTCCGCCAACGTCCTCTCCCAGGAGGTGCAGGCTGAATGGGCCAAAGAGACCGAGGAGATGGCGCAGTCAGGAATCCAGGGGTCCGCTAGGGTCTGGGCATCCCCGGTAGTCGCGATCCTCAACTAGGATCAGATGACCAGCCTTTGTGAGGATCTTGGACAACTGAGCGCCAGCCCTGTGGTTGTGGCCTACCCCATGCCCGAGAGCCATGAGGTGATGGAGCATCCGGAGGGTGCCCGCTGTTTTACCGTCATGGACCTGAGCAAGGGGTATGGGCCACCCTCTCTAACCCAGCAGGCTTAGGACGAGCCAGCCTTCACTACCCCATGTGGCTTGCCTGAATCCACGGGAGAGCTTGTTGGGGTTAAGAACGCACCAACCACCTCTCCAGAGGTCAGGAATGACCTGCAATGCGGAGTGACTGCAATTGGTCACAATGTTGACTCCATCCCATGCTCCAGGGGGCCCATACTGCCTCCCTCTCACATTCTGTTTTACACTTGGATAGGGAAGGCAGCGAGCACAGCAAATACAGGAACCATTTTCCTCCTGCAACCACTGAGTTATCTTATCCTCCTCGCCTTCCTGCTGTCATTCAGAGGCAGCAGGACGAAAATGTTCATTATGCTATTCAAATTAAAAAATGTTCAATTCTGAACCTTTTAATTTCATTGTGGCCCAAGACTAGTTACCAAATAACTTAAGTGGCCTGTGCTCTTGAAAAGGTTGAGCACCCCTACCTTATGTTCTAATTTTTCCATATTCCTGCCTAAGTGTGATTTCTAATGCAACTTGAATCTCATGACAAGGAAAATCACATTATATTCAGTGGTGCCCATTCTCATCAAAGTGAGTTGGCATGGTGTAATTTTGAAAAAGTTTCCTGTGCTACTTTGGTTTGATCTACAGTGCGACTTGACCCCACAGAATATGCAAAAATGCAGGCAAGTCGCATCAATAGCTGTTTATCTCCTATCTATTGCTTATATTTCCACCTTTTACTAATGGGTGAATAATAGAATAAATTGAGAATGTATGGTTATCATTGATTTATTCCAAGCATTACATCAGTCATGCATGGTACAGTTGGCTTTTTTTTTATTTTTCTATCAAGGTATGGCCTTTTAAGGCTGGACACACTGTAGATGATCCATTTAAAATCTAAAACAAAAGGGATTCATTCAAACAAATGGATTTCCCCATTCAAAACGTCCCATTCAACAGAAATTGATATCTAAATCAAATTTTGTCAAGTGGGAACGGCCATGCTGAATTTTGATCCCTCTACAGCCATCTTAAGCAACAAGAATTCATTGTAAGGTTTCTGAAGTTTAGTAGACTTTCCAGCAGTAGACTAACACATGTGTAAAGGAACCACGGGAAGCCATATTAAACAAAATGGTTGTTGTTTGTAAAAGCCCTAGCACTATTTTTCGCTTTTAATGATATACACATATTCCTGCTACAGGCATGTTATTATGACTTAATTATTTCTAGCAGATATGAATTAATAGCATTTCCACTGTCAGAATTATTAAAATTGATTGCTTGCCTTCTCTGTAGCAAATTTAGAATTATTAGTATGCTGTGTGAATTCTGAAGTTGCAAAGCAGCCTGCTATATATTGAACTTAGCTGTGAACAGCTGCTTGATATAAAATAGGTATGCATGTGCTATATCAGAATCACAGCTGTACTAACTATAGAACTAGGACATGGCTAAGTATGTCCCATTAACAGTTCAAAATATACAGCATTATTGACCCACTTTAATGTTTATTTAGCTGTTTTCTCTTTGTACTGTTCTGTTAAGTATAATTTTGCTGATGTGCTTCATATTGACATAGATCATTTCTAATATTGTCAGAATATAGGAAACATTGATGTGTTACAGGGCCAGATCTAGCCTGTCTGATGTGGGGGTGCAATAAAGAATGTCAGGGGGCAGAGGATGGGAGGTCAGCAGGGCAGTGCGCAGGGGGTCAGCAGTGCAGAGTATTGCGTCAACAGTTTGTAGGGCAGTGTACAGAGGCCATTAGTTTGTAGGGCAGTGTACAGGGGTCAGCAGGGTGGAGGACAGGGGTCACAACTGACAGGGCAGAGGATAGGGGTCACTTTTGCCAGGGCGGAGGACAGGGGTCACTGCTGGCAGGGCACTCAGCAGAGCTCCTTCTCCCATCCCTGCACTGCACACAGCTTGGGCACAGGAAGCAGAGCTCCTCCTCTTCTATCCTCACACAGATATCTGAGATCAGTTCAGTGTCAGGCTAGGGCAGTATAGAGTCAGGCTAGGGCAGTAAAGTATCGGATTAGGGTGGTATAGTGTCAGATTACAGCTGTATAGTGATTTATTATGGCAGCATAGTGTCAGATTAGGGCAGTATAGAGACAGATTAGGGCAGTGTACCGACAGATTAGAGTATCATAATGTCAGATTAGGACAGCATAGTATCATATTAGGGCAGTATAGTGACAGAATAGGGCAACATAGTGTTAGATTAGGACAGTATATTATCATAGTAGGGCAGTATAGTGTCAGATTAGGGCAACATAGTGACAGATTAGGGTAGTATAGTAACAGATTAGGGAAGTATAGTATCATGTTAGGGCAGTATAGTGACAAATCATGGCAGCATAGTGTCAGATTAGGGTAGTATAGTGGCAGTACAGTGACAGGTTAGGGTTGTCAGTGACAGTGTGATAGTGACAGTGTGCCCAGTCACTTATCACATGCCTCGAGATAAAGGCTCCCGATGTCCACTCCTCCCCTTTCCCCATCGTCAACTTTGGAGCAGCCAGAGTGAAGGTGTCTGTTGGAGGAGGGAGCCACACCCCCAGCCCTGACCACCAACTCCGGCTGCCTTGGGAGTGATTGAAGATCTCAATGCTAATTAGAGGATTTAGGAGTGGTACAGGCAGCCTCTCCCGGCCTGCTGGAACTCCTGCTGACCCGGTTGGATTTTGGGGGCACAACTAAAATCTGGGGTGGCATAGCCCACCCCAGCACCCTTCTAGATCTGGCCATGATGTGTGACCTGTTGCTATGTATTACTATACATTTTTACTCTTGTGCTAGATGAAGATCTAAAGCAACTTTCTTGATGTAGATGTGTAGCCTCTGACATCACTGAAGGGCCCCATGTTGTATTTAGTGAATGTAAAGCAACTGGAAGCTATCAAAGACTGCACATGTTCTATTGTTATTAAATATTGAACACATGCTTCAGCAGACAGTCATAAAATGAAGACACATCACATGAGACTGCAAGAGATCACTGCTATCACAGACCCTTTACAAATCAATGCTTCCACGTCAGCCCCCTTAAAAATTACTAGTGCCACATTTGTTTCTCAACCAAGATCAATTATAAAAGAGCAGAGGAAAAATATCTAAAAAGAGGAAAGGGATGGGTGTGAATGGAGATATCTCAGGGCCACCTTTGGCTTGGCTTTTGGCTGATTCAGCAGGCCAAAGAATATTTTTCTATTACCGCCCTGAATAAGAACCTAGCTAAAGGAAACACTGATTACTGTCTGCAGGGGCCCAAGGGCCACAGGTTGGGCGCCAAGGATGTAAAACCTCTATGTTTGAGCTAATTTTTAGTATTATCTTATTTTTGCATTTCTGTTGTAAATATAGATACAGTTAAACTACAACATGTTCTTTGCAGGTATTCTCCAATGTGATCCAGGAACTGTACGAGATCAGATGCAGATATTCAGACTGTTTTGCCATGAGTGCCAAAGGGTCTTTCATGATCGTCTTATCAACAGTGAAGATAAGCAGTATTTCCATACAATGATGTCTGAGATGGCCAGTGAGTTTTGTTTTTACTAGTTAATATTGTGTGACAGTAAATCTAAAATGTGCACATAGGTGATTTAGAAGCTGTGTGTTTGGTGCTGAGTAGTTTTGGAACCATTAAAGATTTCAGTTTGTTGTTTCACTGAGTTGTACAGTTTATAGGTCACATTAAAGGTGGAAAAAGTTCTGAAATGATTTATCTTTGTCTCATTTCTTTACATTACAGAAACCTGACATTTTAACAGGGGTGTGTAGACTTTATATATCCACTGTATTAATGAATTGAGCCTAATGTCTCTGATGCCTTTTCAGCTCTCCTTTTTTCATATCTGAATTCAGAAATACAGTTGATTTGGAATCAATTGGTTGTTGTAGCAGTGGTTCTCAAGAACCAGGCTGTGCCCCAAACCTTCCACAGTACATTCCCGACCTCACAGTGGCCTGCAGTGCCCTTCAACCTCCCACAGTGCCCCCTCCTAGCTTGTGGCAGGCCTCCAGCCTTTCATAGTGCCCCCAACCTCCAGCAGTGTCCCATGGTAACTCCCCAACCTCCTATAGTGCACTCCAAGCCTTTTAGTACCTCAAGTTTCCCACAGTAACCCTGAAAGCCTCCAGCCTTATGGAGTGGCCGTGAGCCCCCTACAGAGACCCCAACCTCCACAGTTGCCACCAGCTCCCTCCAGAAACTTCATCCCCTACAAGACCCTCAAGTCTGTTGAAAAGTCTCCTAACCCTCTCCAGAACTCCCATCTCCCACAATGACTCCCAATCCTATCAAGAGCCATCCAGCATTTCAAAACATATTTTATATTCCCAAACTTTTAATGTGCGAATATAAACTTTTTTTTGTTAATGTTGGGGCAAAGAAGGTTTTGGAAGAATTTAACAGGCTCTGGTCTCCACAAGCTTGAAAACTACTGCTGTAGAATATACAGGCAGTTCTTTGTTCAGGAACTTTGATTATTAAGACCAAAGATATTCAAAAACAATGTTGTCTAATAGATCCACCCATCATTATTTCTTCATTTACTTTTTCCAGGTAAACACTTTGGAGTTCAGATTGAGCCAGAATACTTTGTTACAAAGCCCGTCATTTTTGGTGATTTTATTAAGGTAAATATAAAGAGCAATCACTTTTGTAAAAATTTTCCAGCCAAACACAATGTACTGCAGCCACCAAAAACCATCTATCCTGGCACACTGCATATGTTTACAGAGAGGCCCTGCAGTGACAGAATGACAGGCTTTTAGGTCATGTGATTCTGATACCATGACAGAAATGTCATCTATGCCAAGCTATTAATCACATGTGTCTAGCGGGACCGGATCACCCAGAAATGTATGTCAGCTATAAGAGCAATTTATTTTTTTCTCTGATGCTCACAGACTGAAACTGTGCTAAACTGAGCACATCAAGTTTAAAAATGCCAGATCAAGGTATCCTACTGAAATGTGGCCTTTTTGGGCAAAACATGAATGTGTACTTATTTATAAATGCAATAAATATGAAATACTTAATTGAAACTGGATGGAAATTGGATGTTAGTTAATTAAAACAATATTACTTTCCAAATGTAGACAATTTGGGACTCGTTTGTCAAAGTTTTGAACTGAACTTGTAACCAACAGCTGTAATCTCAAGAACATTGATAAATTGAGTCCTTGGGGGCACAAGTATAAAATGACATTTTCACTTTCTCAGTAAAATTAACAATTTTATACTTTTCGGATTGTGTACCTTCAACTTTGCCCATAGACTAGTTAAGGCACAACATGTTGACTAGTTCATCCCCTGCTTTAGCAGAGCAAAATTACTAGGTGTTCTAGTCATGCAATACTTCATCCTTGTGATGCTTTTACTGTAAATACCTTCTCCTACAATGGCTTGTATTTTATACATTAGATATTCATATAGGCTCTAAACTGGGGAAGGCAAGCTTATTTCTGGATACTAGGCATTGCTAAACATTATGGCACATATCTCTGTGTATTGCGCAGTTAATGATGATAAAGATGAGTAGACTGATATGGAGCAATCAGATGTTAACTGTGTTTCTCTGATGTGTACTAATTCATCCAGTAAATCAGCTCACTTCCTACATGCAGGGCATACTACAGTCCCCCCATACCCACCTGTTCTTCCTTTCAAAGCATGGTTCCCCATCTATTCCTGCTAACCTTTAGTCAACAAATGAATGGGTGAAGAGGTTAGCATGACTCATACTAATGATATGATGCATGATCTTAACAATGCACAATGACATCCTTCCATGCATACCCTTATTTGAACTTTACTAAGCCAAGATAACGATCTCAGAATCCCAATTAAGGACATCAGTGTTATGGTGACATACCACATCAATACAGGTGTGTGCCACATGTTTAATATATGTCCAATTTACTGAGAATAGATGGGGGAACTGCATTCTTTGATAGGGCTAGAGAATGGTGAAACAGTGCCCTGGAATAAAGCATAGGGTATAGAGGGATACTAGTAAGGGAAACAAAAGATCCTTTTACTAGTTCACTTGCGGTGGATATTAAAACTTACAAAGTGAATTGCAGGTTTGGAATCGCTATAACTCTTTCAGTATCTGTAAATCAAGCTAGAAAAATGTTACTTTGGTTATTTTATAATATGTCAAAATGCCAGATCAAATAACCTCATTTATGATAAAACTTGTATGAATGTGAACATACATGGCACATATTACACAGCTGAGCTGATGCATAATGACAAAGCATGGTATTCTCTTGAGCTAATTTTTTGCTAATGCTGATAATTCCACTGAGGCTGTTGAGCTCTCGCACTGTAATCTTAAACGATTGTAATGGAAACTCTGGTTTTAGGTTGGGGTTGACAAGGCTGAAAGAGTATATGAAGACCTGACTGACATGGAGAAGATTCGATCAGTTTTGCAGGATTATCTAGATGACTACAACATGACCAATGCTAAAGATGTCAAACTGGTGTTTTTCCAGGATGCAATAGAGCATGTGTCCAGGTACAGCCCATAGAATAAAAGATGGTGTTGTGTTCCATTCTTATGTATCCTCCACATCTGTCATCCATAGTTTGTATTTTTTTATCAATCTTACGTTCAATAGCAATGGGAATATTGATCTGTCCAAATATGTATTCCTAGTTTATCACCAGGCAAACAAGTCCACTTTGTGCATTGGCAAAAGGGCCCTTCGGTCATTTTACAAGCTCCTGTAGATTCATGATGTACTGAAAGCCTGCACTCTATTTTCTTACCCACAAGGCTGACTTCTAGGTAGCAGTGTGATCAGAATCCACAGTGACATCCCTTTTATTTACTTACAAAGGAAGCAGGGGATTACAAAGCAGAATTCCCAGTCCCAGTGGTGGAATCTATCTAACAAGAGAATAGATGCAGGCTGGTTGTATGAACTAGTAAGGAGTTCAGCGGGTCCCTTTACAATTTTACTTTGTACTAAGTAGTTTATAAATCAGCATGTTGATGCCAATATGGCATTTAGTAGAGCAAATTTTGACACATTTTCTTATCTTCATCTGTCAATATTAAGAGTTCTACATTTCAAGATCATTTCCTTGTATTCTTTAGGTGGACTAGAAAGTTTCAAAATGTATTTGACATCTAATCACCCAGAGGAGTGTCAATCAGTTGGCAGTTCTTTAAATAAGTATGCTCGGCTTGGAATGACAATACTATTTGAGCAGGGTTTTTAAACTTATCTAATCAGTCCATTCCCCAGTGACCAATTGGCCAGGGTGGTGTCTGAAATTGCCCTTATACATATGACCAGCTGTTGAGCAGGCACAGACTAAAGCTCTTCCAGGGCCTTTACATGCCAAATAGAAGATATAGGACCTATGCTGATGGGTTTTTTTGTTTCAGAACCATATCTTTTCCAATACAAATCTATGGGAATGCAAAAGCAGCTTGAAGCAGGTCAACTGCAGGCCAAATGCAATTGCACTGAATTTTGAATGATCTCAGAAGCATCTTAAACTTCTGTCAAATGCACATTGAACTTGGAACAAAGGGACCATTGGCACTAGCACTTAATCTCTCCATTGTGTGTTCTGCTTCTCCTCTAATGATGTCTTTAAAGTGGGTGTCCTTAAATAACCTGGGTTGGAGCCCTCTAGACTGTTTACTTAATTAAAAGCTCAAATCATCTAGAAAAAAGCTTGTTTTTTTCCTTTGCTCATAGGATTGCACGCATGATTCGTCAGGAAAGAGGGAATGCTCTCCTGGTTGGTGTAGGTGGAACTGGTAAACAGTCTCTGACCAGGCTTGCTGCTCACATGTGCGGATATAAGTGCTTTCAGATAGAACTAAGCCGGGGATACAATTATGACTCTTTCCATGAAGATCTCAGAAAGCTGTATAAAATGGCTGGGGTGGAAGACAAGGACATGGTTTTTCTCTTTACAGACACTCAGGTAAAATAAGTCAAATGCTGCGTACCTCCATGACTTTTTCATACACACTACAAATTAGTTGTAAAATCCTGCTGTGTGACAACAAAGTAAGAATTGCATTTACCACAATCTGGTATTATACTGCATTTAATATTTAAATAATTGTATAAACTGTCATTATTCTGATCTGTCCTTTTATGCTTTGATATTGAATCCCATGCCACAGTTGTTTTACATATTCTTTATTACTTACTGCTGGCAATACACATACAGTATGTTAGGTGGGCCTTATTTTAAGCTACCATATGCAGTAAATGCTTTGCTGTTTTGCATCAAGAGCTTGCTTTCTTAGTTGAGCACCCTCAACACTGTAACCACTCTCTCTCATCTACAGCTCCCGCTCACAGAGTGGCAATGGGGAGCCAGTAGGAAGGACTTCTGATCATGTGATCACTGTGATTAGCAATCACAGAGAAATGGGAAATTTAACAATATCTCAGTGAATAGTCATATGGACTAATTTAAATGGCTCACACAGTATTGTGATTTGGACTATACCACTGCTGAAGAGCTGATATAGGAATTGATTACCCCTGCATAAAACATATTTTTTCTGTTTCATATGGAAGAAGACCAGATATCTTCAAACCCAGCAGCTGCGGAGAAACTATAACCTCAAGAATACTTTTGCAGCTATAGATTTGCATTCAATGCACTTTTGGTATTTTTGGCCACGTTCAGGGGCGGACTGACCATTTGGAAACTAGGGCACTGCCCGAGGGCCTGGGGTCAGTAGGGGGCCCCATGAGATGCCTCTGGTACCTTTTTTATAGGCTTTTTTGAGTTTGGGCAAGGACACAGGGGCCCCATGATCCCCTATTGCCAGGGGGCCCCATGAGTTGTCAGTCCACCCCTGGCCATGTTCATTTCTTGTTGCCACGTTTTGATACCACTTTCATATTAATTTATTTATCCACTGCACATCTGAGGTTTTTTTTTCCTTTTATAGTTTTTTTGTGATATATCAGTCTATATATATGTCACTTTATTATTGCTGATGCAGCGTTGTTTTATGTCATCGCATTTGCACATTTTTATCATCGCATTTGCACACTTGATGATTCTTTGTGTGCATCATCTTTATATTTATTGCCATGGGATCATTCTATTGTGGCATTCACCTTTGTGGTAGTATTTGCACATTCATTTATGGTTGTATGTGGATTGTTCACCTGTTGGAGTTATATTATTTTCCACTGATTTATTAATGTGTATTGTTTTATTCACTGTGAAGTAGCACAGCACCACTTTTTTTTACTTACCCACTTTACGTTTGTTGTGTGTTCCCACTCACACAGAATATCCCAAACTATTTTTTTTAAGTTTCACCATTCTTGCTGTTTCTGTGGAGCAGGTTTTTTTTTTATAGGCCTCTGTAGGCAACTTCTATTTTCAAAAATAGTTTGCAATGTGCAATTAGGGAAATTTTTTTCTTTGAGTGTATTACCAAACAATGTACTACTCAAGACTTGCGATCTTTGACTTTTTCTTTAGACAAACAGTGTGCCTAGCTAGTTTACAACTGATAATGAACATCTGCCAGCACAGTAGAGACAGGGTTAATTATGGTAAAGCCCCCCTGTCACGAACGCGTAATCGCTGCCACCAATATGCAATGATCCCACGATCGCTGTCACCA